GACTCGAAAAAATGCGTCACAAGGCGGTACACGATTTGTTTGAATTTCACTACTTTCACTTTCTGTTCCAATTTAATACTAATACTTGAGTGCGTCGATTAGGGAAGTAGATTTTTGTTGTGTCACATCGGGGGCAAGGGAAGTAAACTGAATACTAAGGAGTGTAACGGGAATAATAAATAAGCCTTTCCGCTGTAGAGCAGGACGCAGTTCAAGAGCTGTTAATGCATAAAAACAGGTGATTTTCAACTTGGATACCAATAATGTGAACACTATGATCACGTCGACCGAATTGAAAAAATATTATTCTTTTTTTCGTGGTTATTTTTAATATTTCCTGAACTATTGGCTGTACATAAAAGGACCTATTCGTTACAGAATATCAGCGACGTCTATAAAAATGTTCTCATAGTAGGTTTTGATACAGTCTATTTTCTCAAACAGCGGAGCAATAAATCATTTTCAGGTAGCTTTTCCCTATGCGTTTGAGTCGGTTAGAAAGTCATTTTATTTAAAGAAAGAAACACCGACCATCGTTAAAATAATCGGAGTCTTGAGAAATGACCAAAGTATATCTCCAATGATCGACAGAAATAACTGGAAAACTTTTTAGGTATTGGATTTCAGATGGTTAAAAACAGTGGAGATATTTTCTAAGGCAGATAAAAGAGTTTAAGTGGAAGAGAATAGAAAGATTTATTATCACAAATTCACGTCAAACACTTTCAGAAGGCTGGTCTACAGTCACTTTCTCAAAAAAGACTGCGACTGATTATTACCCAGTTTTTAGATGTTTGAGATCAAACCTTAAAAAATAACCTTGATTATAATTTGTATAATTGTCTTTTTCAGAATATTAAGTTCTCAACCTATTTTTAAAAAAATTGTAAAAACTATCTATGGAGATACTGCTTCTATTCTGTCTAATATTCAAAACAAAATAAATCATTTCATGAAAAAGTTCAGGATTCTACCAATAAAACCAAAACTCTCTGGAATATTATGAAACAACCACATAAAAATAATGAAAACAAATGTATAGTACTAAGTCATAATGATAAATTAATCAGTAGCGAAGAAGAAGTCAGAGAGTATTTCTCAAGAATAATTGACGAGAAAATCAGGACACATTTCCCCAGGAAAGATTCAGAAAGTTGTACCACAATGCCAAATACTAATGCAACCATGTTTTTTGAACCAGTCACTACGGATGAAGTAAAAACAGTTATAGCCTCGTTAGACAATAAGAAAAGCACAGGAGATGATGAAGTGGCTACAAGAATAACCAAAGAATATGAAGATATATTATCTGAAATTATAGGATATATTTTAAACTTATGTATTTCCTTTGGAGAATATCCTGACCTGCTTAAAATTGCGGTCCTTGTCCCTACACTCAAAAATAGTGACATTAAAAATATCTAGAATTATCGTCCCATATCAATAATCAGTATATTCTCAAAATTTTTTGAAACAAATATATCTGGCAGAATAAATGATTACTTGGAAGCATTCGATCTAATGACAAAGTGCCAACACGGGTTCAGGAAAAATTGCTCGATAGAAACTGCAACGTTCAACTTTGTACAAGAAGTACATGATTTAATGGGTGAAAAAAAAACATTGTGGTAGGTTTATTTTTTGATTTGAGTAGAGCCTTCGACACCTTGAATATTAAATTCGTATCAGATGAGCTATTTAAGATTGGTATTCGAGGAAACATAAATCAGCTTATAATGTCTTTTCTAACAAATAGATATTTCCAGGTGAAACAGAATGATATAATGTTCAATAAATTCCTTGCAATAAATGGGGCCCCTCAAGGCAGCGTACTCGGTCTACTAATTTTTCTGTTATATGTGAATGATCTACCTAATAATATAAGTGATGGTGCGATATACCTTTACGCAGATCCACTCTTCCATTATTCTTTCAAGTAAAACAACGGAAAAAATGCATAACCTCAGTCCTACACGAATTGGATGATGATGGTGTTACAGGAATAGACTTATAGTTAACCTGAGAAAAACTGTCTGCATGGAATTTGCAAATTCATCTCAAAGCCTACATGATTTCAATTTCATTTTCCGGAATGAATCCTTGGCATTAACAGGCTCAACAAAATTCTTAGGAACAATAATGGACTCACATTTCACTTGGCAAGAACATATAGAGTTCCCATCCAAGAAATTGAATCAATCCTATTATTTCATTAAATCCCTTGAGAATAAATTAGACAGTAAAGCACTGATATAAGTTTATTTCGCCAAGTTTCAGTCCATTATTGGTTATTTTACTATCATTTCATTTCAGGTTTATTGTTGCTTAATATAATTGTTATTTTCAACTATTCTTTTTAATTATTCTTTTTTACTTGTTTCAGGGATTTCAAATCATTTTATATAATAGACAATGGAAGTCCGAACTAGTGAAATTCATCACGAAACATTGTCAATCACCTTCAAACAAGATATTTTTTGTAGAATTCCACTTTGAAGAAATTTCTTGGAAATAACGATTTCTTTCCTGACTGAAAAAAACTAGTTTAAGATAGCAAAAATTTATGAAAGAATATTGTCAAAATCTACTGAAAAAATATTCTAGGAATAAGTACAAAAACTATTTTTGTGATACCTATGCCAAAACAATTATTTATGATTCAAAGAAATATATTGAAAAGAAGCCCACCTATTGTGAGGCGATGTAGTTTCTAATAAAAGTTAAACCACGAAAGCCAATTCGAGTTTCTCGACTGAAATCGATTACGACATAGTTATCGAATGCTAACGGTTGACAAAGCATTTTCAGTCGTCAAAAGTTCGTTAAGCTGCACAGCGACACCCACAATAGTACTCCAATTATTTTCAAAAAAGTCAGGCGTGAAATGGGCTGTTCACGGTTCACTAATCAATTTTTAATAGCCAAAATTCCTTAATCGATCACAGCAAGGTTCGTTGAACTTGAAATGACATTTTCATGCTAATTTTCGCAGCTTAACCTCAGTGATGAAAGAAATATTTTAATATTGATTAGCTGACAAGAAACACGGATTAATTTTCATGCTTTTCAAGGTGACAGAAAAAGTTGCATTTCTATTATTCCACATTCCTAAGAAAAGTTTTCGTGGAACCAGAAGACATTCTGTAACTGTGATTCAGCGAAAACCAAAAAGGAGCAACATTCAAAGTGCCTATCATCCCAATCGCATTCAGTCCTTACGACAGGATATAAATATACGAGTACATGAATTTTTAGCGGCACTGTAGAAACAAAGACTGCGATCACGTTTATGGAGAGTCTAAAAATTGTGGAGGTGTGGAGTCACTACGCTTGGAAAATATATCGCATACCATTTTGAGAAAAAACACAAAAAAAACAAAATAGTATCTGTATACTCGGGTCTCATATATGTTCAGCACACCCACTCTATACTTCCATCGATGTATATGCAATTGATACCATTCCTAAATAGATTTGCACTCACCACCCACACGTGACTTTAAAGATTTTAATCTCTTCATAAGGTCAGTGGTGGGTATAAAATATTCATAATGTGGAAACAAAGCTGTGGTTGAGATTAAAACTGTACTGATTCAATCAAAAATCCCAAAACAACTGTTATTCACGGGCTAGTTCAAGAAATGTCATCCAAAACTACTTCAGCTTTTGTTTGTTATTCCGAAACAAACAAACCGTGTAGGAAAAACATTATGAAATATCGTAAAATATGCCAATCACACATATTTTTGAAAACCACGCTCCGCGGAGTTTTCAGGAGAAACATGAGAAAAAGGATTAAGATAACGAAATATTGATCAGTGTAAACATTTTTCGAAAAATAAGATAACAGTACCTGTAGCAGAAGACTAAAGATTAATTTTCGAGAAATTGGTAGGTACTTGTATAGTATGTATCAAATGATCTTAAACATAACAAGTATTTTGTTTCTTTCTTCAAATTCAAGTGAATGGAGTGCGGAAAATCCGGATTCTCCCACAACATCGATTTATTTTCAAGTATATACGCTGGTTCAAATAAATTTCCAAATTAACTTTGTTATCATTGAAGAAACGTAATCGTACGGAGGCTTAGAAAGGCCTAAAAACATCACTTGATCCCGAGTTTAAACCAATTTGATTCCATAAGCGAATTTTACACTCATTAAGATGCAAGGATACTCTGGCCTTATTCAACGGCTTCCTAGGCCTCCTGACCTTACCTCTCTCGATTTTTTGTTCTGTGGGTAAATAACTCTATGCCGAACAACATGCAACATAGAGTATCTGAAAATATATAAGCTATGGATAGCGAACCTTGCTGGAATGTGTTCGAGCTGTTCAAAAATGGGTAACAGGCGGGGACACTTACGAGAAAACATTTATCTCTTCGTTATATTCAGATTTCATGTAAGATGTTCAACCACAGTAACTGTGGTTCAATTTTCTTTCCTTCCTCGCAAAACTCACAGTTGTTACTTTTATAATTGGTATATTCTTTTCTATCAGAATATTGCATACAGTGCTTTCACTAAGGAAAGAAAACAATGTTTCCGTTTCAATGCAATAATATTTCTGAGAATTTAGTGCCTACTATTATGGAATTATACTATAGTTATTTAACCGAAACACGTTCTTATTATCAACATACATACAATAATTAGAACACATTTTTGATAATTTGACTTGAACTTATTCCATTTCCAACCGCTGAAGCCTTGTGGTACCTTTTCATTTCCTTTTATTTTCAAATATCTATAATTTTGAGTAGAATAAATCGAGATCAATAATTCTTTGATGTAAAAAAGCTAACGAGTCTGGTTAAGAATCTGAAAAATAACACTGGTTCGGCCGTTCAACGGATCATAATTTTCAATTTAACCCTCGATGGTTTACGTTCTGTTCGTGGCTTTTGAACTGAACTGAACCGAATAAACATTATTTATTGAGAAGACAGAATTACCAGGTCTATCCCGGGTAGACTTTTACAATAATTTAACTAACCTGTACATTAGTCCTCCTGTACATGATTCCAACAGTGCGCCACCAAAGACACAAACATAGTATTGTGTGCAGTCGTTTGGATGGGGGTAGTATCCAAATTCTTCTGGGCAATCGAAGTTAACGCCAGTTTTAATTTCTGTTGTAACTCTTGCATTCCTGTTGTTGAATTTCCGTTCGGAAGAGCTGAAGCCTGCGAACAAATGGATCAGATTAGCACCATATAAGAAATTTGAACTGATATTAAAAAGAAAATATTTGCTTGTTTGTAATGGAAGCACTCAAAAATTACTTGAATGATTTTTGAAGATTCTTCAACCTATAGAAAGCTTCATTATCAGCGAGTAACACAGGCTACATTTTATTTTGAAAAACTGAGATCGTAAAAAATTGCAATAATGTAACGCAGGGTATCAAAAATTCAAATACAAAAATCAAGCATTCAACGTGTGATCTGGGAGTGTCACTAGTATGAAATAAATACTCATTAGCACGGATTTTTTGTATTTTTTTCTGTGATACATTTGTGACCGAAAAAAAGCTTTTTTTTCATCAATAACTTCATTCGGAATTTGACTTGTTTTCTGCTTCAAGATAAAAAATAATCAACGAAATATTGGTCAACGTGATTCGCAATATCTGTCAAATTTTTGCTTTTTCCAACCGATTCCAAAAGTGGGGTTATTATTTCTCTAAATATAGAAAAAATTTGTTTCAATGCAATTTTTAGCCATATGCAAAATTTCAATTGCATGAGTACATGTTTCAATACGATTTACGAAATAAATTGTGAGGATTGCGATAGAAAATATGTTGGTTAAACTAAACGAACTATAAAAAAGTGGTTGAAGGAACATTGTTTGACACATTTGGTTTCATAGAAGGAAATTAATATTTCGAAATTTTATTTCGAAATATCAATTTTCTTATACGTAAGTATCTCTCCTCGATACAGTCTTCAGACACGTTTCGATCTCTGTTAGAGAACTGATACATGAGATGTTTCTTCTCCGCTTGGGGCTTTGTTCACGAGATGGAGCTGTTACTAGTTAACAATCTTTTTATCAGACGCAGATTTTAAATATGCAGTCGAGCCGCGTTGAAATTAATCTAGTACCAGGCACTTTGCTGTTTCGGTCGGATCTTTCCTGAACTAATGAGGTAATACCTCGAAACTGGTCTGTAGGTGACCTGCTCGAATAATTTCAGCATGCAGTCTAGAGTCGTTCAACATGCCTTATAATGAGACCGGTACATGACAACAGATTTTTAGACGTCTTTAAAAGTTTGGGAATAGAAAAATGTAGAATGAGAACTGTGAACATCGATAAAGGTCCTATTCCAAACAGCCGGTTGCTCACCCTCTAGCAGGGGAGCTCACGATGCAAAATGGGGATTTACTCGAGCGTCATTGAGGCATATTAGGTTGCAAAGCTTAGATGATAAGAAGAAAAAAATGTTATATAATATATACCTTTTCATCGGTGGGGGAAGCGGCTATAGAATTTTAAGTATGTAAAAAAATATTGTTGCATGGACATACTCGAGCGCGTCAGATATTGATAGCATAAATGTNGAATTTTTGTTATTTCGGCTTGCGGAAATCGTCAGATTATATATTTTTCGTTATCTTTGAATTATTTCCTTCAAAATAAAAAAGAATTAGCTACGCTCGAAAATGTCGAAATGACGTTATTTTTTTTACAACTTTGCTGCCCTCCCCTTTCTTTACGCCACTCTCATATTGTCAGATTACTGGAATATACTCTTTTTAGCAGGTAATTAACTGACCCTACCTTAATCTGACGCGCTCGAGAATTTTTGATGATCAATTTTTTTTACTAATCTGATCCTTTATCCCTCACAGGCGGCCTTATATATGGGTATCCCCCTGTATATTAATCTGCTGCGCTTTAGTAAATCCCGAAATCCCTGATTGGGCTCCCCTATTACTCTGATAAATATATCAGAGTGATGCATTTATTACACTTACAGTTAGTTGGTGGAGTGTTTATAGTGTGAGTCTCTAACTTGGAATAAATTCGTAGTCCGGTCAAATAAGACTGAAAAATAAGAGTAAAGGTACCTAAATTCCCACCAAGCTGAAAATCAGATTGTTCAAAATATGATTGAAAAAATAAAATTTAGAAGTTCATCTTTCTTCTGTATGGAAAAAATGTAATCAAGGGTAATGATAAAAAAAGAGTTTTTCGTGATTTTCAGCAAAACGGTAAGTTTTATCATTAAAATACTTCAGACAAAGATTAGATCATAAAACTATCTACAAAAATATATCAATACTTTTTTTCCTCCGAGCTACCGTTTTTGAGATATGACAATTCAAAAAGTTGTAAAAGTTGTAATCGTCATAACATAAGATATTGAATAACAAAATGTTGAAGAATAGAATAACACTCTGTTATTTGCTATTATATTTAACGAAAATAGCGAGCAACAATAAACAAAATATAAAATGAATTCGACTCTATCTCGAATGAATATCAACTCGCTGCCTGGTATCTCGTTTTTTCTCCGTTGTCACCCCGTTCTTGCGAATCATTCATTTTCGAACCTTTTGATACACATTATCATAACAGGCGACTCTGCACAAGTGGTATAGAATTCATCAACCCAAGAAACACGGAGATGTTCTAACAAAAAGTTTACTCAGAAACCCTGCTCTTCAAGTAATCCTATGCCAAACAGTCTGTGAGAGTGAGGTTTGGAGATCTAGATTCTATGGATCCGCCTTCTACCGATCTATCTGACTGAAATTTCTGCTTCCAGAAAATAACGAACCTCCTTAGGGGAAGGTGCACCATTTAGTTGAAACCAGATGTTTTTGTTCGGTACGTCAGTTTCGTCATCAAATAACACAACAGACAAATTTAGAACAAGTTCCAAAGTGTCAATGTAAATATGTATTTACGTATGGTACCTGAAATTTTTGTAGTACTTGCTATCTTATCGAAGTACGGTAATAATACAGAATTTGTTCTCGGCATACGCCACTGCATTATGCAGACTTCAGATTTATTTCAGCTTTCATCGACTCGTTCTAATAAAACTAAGTCGTATGGGGTGTGCCGTGAATTCGCAAGTGGAAAACTGAACGCCTTAAAACAATCTTGTCTAACAAGTTGGCCTCCAATCAGTTCAACTAAATATTTGTAGGTAACGAGAAGTTTTACACGGTTATCCACACTAATTCAAAGGACATTAATATGTTCATTGGCCACTGCTTTAGTCACTTTTTAAATTCCTTAATGTGACCAGTTTTTTTGACCTTCTGGTTACAATTAGTATTGTTTAATATGTATCGTTGTTGGCATTCTCAATATATTCAGCCTTCATTTTTTACAGCAAAAAAACTATGGAATTCTGAATTTGATGAAGGTAAGTTTTTTGAAGCTGCCAGAGTTTTTGCTGTTTCTTACCGAGCAGACCAGTATAAAAATTAATCAATGTTTTATGGTAAGGTTGGTCTCTTTAATTCGCGTGAGCTACACGATTCAACTATATTTTAACAATACTATTTTTTGTATTACTGTTTAGATAATCTTTTTTCTCGAGACATCCCGACATCCTGGAAAATAAATAAACTAGAAAATTCTCTTTCACATAATCTGAATAATAAACAATACTAATTCAATAGAGAAGTTGTGTAAGTGTAATGAAGAGTGAACTTTTTGGTTTGTCCTGTCCCAACACTTTGGCGATTAAAAAGTTGCATCAAAATGCCGCTAGACATAGAAGTACATTCTGTCAAGAAAGTACCGGGAATAAATAATTTGAAAAACCCGCCGTTGACCTAACATCATATGACCTAATGTCATATGACAAATGACAAATTGCAAATTGCAAGTCTCGAAGACAGACACTCTTCTTTCCTACCTTTACTTCTTCTTCTGAGCTGTACAATGAAACTATGTTGCCAACTAGCCAATCGTCTTACTTAATAGTTACGTGGAAGAAGTAACGTTTTATAAGAACAAAAGTGTTTCATTCTTTTCATTAAATTGATCATGAATTTCCACAAAATAAACAAGTCATCAATTACACAAATTATTTCGATATTCTTATGGATATTATTGTTTGTATCGATATTCTTATCGATATTACTTTTTGTATCGATATTCGATGTTCAAAATGTTTATCGATACCTTATCGATATATCGTATCGATAAGCCCATCTCTACGCTATCCGCCATTTAGTTTGTTCACAGTAATCAATTTGTTAGTTAACCTCAAACATGTTTTTCAATGAATAAAAATATCGAACAAAGAATATGTCTTAAATTTTGCATTGCAAATGGAATTTCGTGTGTCGAAGCGATGAAAATTTAGCACATCATCAAAAAAATGTACGTATGAGTGGTACAATCACAGAATAGTTAGCAATCCATTCTGTGGTACAGTGCATTAAAAGCGGTATAGACGTGATGGAAAATTTGCCACGCCCTGCTCGGCTATCAAACATTCTCAACTGAATTCAACATCGCTAAGTAAAATAAATGCTGCCTGAAAATCATCGTTGAAGTCAGAGACAGATAGCTGCCGAACGTCTTACGAATCAGTTTATACACAATTTTAAACAATTTTCTTTTAGGCATGAACCGCGATTACTGCAAAGTGGAACAAAAAGCCCCCTTGAAACGACTACTTTCATATAAACGATGAATTACACAAAAGAAAACAGTACTTATGGAATTGAATCACATATCATTCATATGAAAGCTGCACAATATAGTATAAGAAATAGTTATGATATTAAATTTTACTTACAGGAAACCCAGTCATCCACAAGGACGGACTTCAAAGTTTCGGAATAAGACAACTTGTCTCATTACCTTATCAGCTCCTATCTGGATAGTATAACAAGGTGGAGAAGTAGAAATCCAAACAATTTCTTCCCCATAAAATACTCATTTCATTCACGAATTAAGAAAAATCTACTCGTGTCACGATGATAGACAGGCTTTTTCTTCCAGTTTGTATCTGAAAGTAACTTCTATGCATATCTTTGTGAAGATGAAGTGACAGCCAAACAGCTTTTTTCCATTGAAACAATCTTTTAGAATATTCAACTATGACACTAATTATTTAACATTTTTCAAATGATTATCATTTAACACGTTATATTTCAACACGTTTCGTTTACAAGAAACTGTATAAAAAACGTGACTCATGCAG